ATTTTATTTATTTATTTATTTAGTAATACTAGGGATTTAATCCAGAGGCACTTTAACCATTGAGGCACATCCCCAGCTCTTTTTCTTCACTTTTTATTTGTTGAGACAGGCTCTCACTAAGTTACTTAGGGCCTTGCTAAGTTGCTGGCCTTGAACTTGGGATCCTCCTGCCTCAGCCTCCTGAGTCTCTGGTATTACAGGCATGCACCACAGTGTCTGGCTATCCTTTAGATTTACCTGGTGTTTGGACAATCCCTACCAAAAATACAGACTACCTTTCCTTTATACTGGATGTTCAGAGCAGAGGAGGCAGGATTTGGAGCACAATGCTGTTCCTGCTTTCTCTCTTCTGAAATTGCCTCTGATTATCTCCTGGGTACCTCATTCCCTGAGGCTAGGAAAAGGCCCTAAGGAGGGAGCACTGCTGCTGGAGATGAAGCTCACTTTTGTGGCAGTTCAGCATTGAAGCAGATGCCTTCCCCAGGTTTACCCTTCATCATCCTCAGTACGCCCATCACCCCCATTTCAGAAAAGTGTAATGGAAGCATTTCATATATGAATACAATTAAAAACCTAAACTATCTTCCAACTGTAGTGAATAAGTTAAATAGAAAAATCTTTAATTTTTTTGTAATTATCATTGTATAGTTGTACCTTAAAAATATTGAGTGTAAGTAGTTACAAGTAAGTCAGAATCAATTCAGTATTCATGGAAAGCCCAGTATGTTTACTTCTTAGGGATTCGGTTGTATTTTAAATTGTATGGCTCTTCTAGATATATTTATAAGTTCTCACCTAATTTTAACCCGTTAGCACCATTAAAGAAATGTATTGGCTGGCATAAGCACTAATTGTGGTTATGATAAACATTATGTAGTTTATTCATTTGTCTGAAATTTTAAATAGATTTTTTCCTACTCTCATAGAATTGCTTATAATCCTTCACCCTGGGGCAAAAGACTCAGGAAAGGAGGGGAAGTAATAAAAAGAAATAAAATTGTATGCAAGATGGGAAGTTTTACTTTGGGGAGCCTGTGGGACTAGTCCTTTAAGTAGATCTAGTTATGACTGGAATTTGCTTGACTTTGGGTTAATCACCTGCCCATTACTGCCACCAGCTGTAAATTAATGACAGGGTCTGCAAAGATTCCTGAATATACACTGAATGGAGCAGCATGCCCTGAGGAATAGTGTGAAGAAAGATGCCACCTGAGCATATGTATAGTATATGTGTTTAATTTGTTTTTGCTACTATGACGCTGTTTGTGTAGTTGTTCCACCTGCTTTTGTGCTCAGGGATCTCCTTGGACTGCCACAACTCTGGTATCTCAGTGGGCAGGCACGTTGATGGCAGTGGAAAGTCCTTGAGATTAGCACTTTTTCTAAAGTAGAAACTCAGAGTGAACTCTCTTAAAGAATAGTTTTTTCTGTTATTTAAATGTTAGAGGCTCTTGATGCTCTTGCTTTTTGTTGTGCTTGGAGATAAGAATTTTCACAGCACAGTGGAGAGAGAAGGTGGTTATTCTCCTTAGAGACAAGAAAAGTTCTCACCTATCACTTCCTTTGGGGAGCATTTTGTTGCTCAAAGGTAGCAACAAAATGTGTGCTGATATGTGTGCTGATACACAAGTCTTAGGTTCACATTTTATTATATGACAGTAGGTTAATGTGAAGAATACTATGTTACGAAAAGTATTTCATAATATTCTAACAGATGCTGCTAGTATAATAGCCTAATGTAACAAATGCACCAAATGTGTTCAAGCATGTTTTTGACACTATTTTCATAAGTGATGATATATCCTAATTGAAACTTACTAAAATTATGTTTTCTCCTCCAACTGTCATGAAAACATACCAAACTTGGTGTTTTGTGTACCCATGATTTAGGAATATAAAATGTATATTCCTGTGGCTTTCCTCTCTGAGATTTAGAGTTAGATTTGAAAATATGAGATTATTCTTCTGAAGATTAGTCCATTAAACTAATCCAGTCTCTACATATATGTTAATTCTCCGTCATTAATTATATAGCCAATAGCAGATTTAAACTTCAAGATTTATGTGAAACATTGTTACAAGCAGTAGTGATATAGCCCCTTTGTTTTCTTTCTGACTGGTGGAATGAATACCTTTATGAATATTCAAAGGAAATTCTAAATATTTATTTTACCATTGTATGTTTATTTGTGCATGTTATGTCCTTGTATCATATAATTCTTTTCTTAAACCATTTTTTTCCTGTGAAACCCAATACACATTAGAAACATGGAAATAATAGAAATTGTACTACCCATTTATCGCAAATTAACTACCATCCACATTAAGGAATTAAAAAATACCTACTACATCCAGAAATCTCTGTCATGCCCTTCCCAGTTATTTTACCTTCTCTCACACCGCTGGAGTTAACCACAATTTTGACTTTAATATTAATTGTTTTCTTGCTTTTCTTTATCTTTTGCCACCTATTCACACTTCTGGAACACTATAGTTTAGTTTGCCTAGTTGTTTTTGTTGTTGTTTGGTTTTGGGTTTTTGTTGCTGCTGCTGTTGTTTTTACATAAATGGAATTTGCTGCTAGGATGTATCCATCTGAACCCACCCTTTTTCATTAAGTTACATTTGTAAATATATAATGGTTTTCATGAACTTACCACAAATTATCCGTTGTATTGTTTGGGTCCAGCATGAGCAGTGCTTCTGTGGAAATTCTTCCATATCTCTTTGATGAACATTGGGTATATTTCTGAGCAGTATATATGTAGGCGTGATATTGCCAAGCCATAGGTATGTGTATTTTTGACATTTTTAAAAGCAGTATCACTTTACACAGCCACCAGGGAATTATGATAGTTCCATCTCTCTGTATCCTCACTACACTTTTAGCCCATCTGTTTGTTGTATTACGTCATGGTTTTAATTTCCATTTCCCTGATTACTAATGAAGTCAAGCAAATGCAAAGAAGCCTGTTGAGATTTTTATTAGAATAACATTTAACCTATAGATCAATATAGAGAGAATGTTACAAAACTCAACTAATATATTAATTTATCTATATAGCACTTTTCAATTTCTCTCAGTAAAGTTCATTACTTTCTGCGTAGAGGCTTGCATATCGTTTGTTCCATTCATTCTTAGATATTTTATACTTCTATGTTATAATAAATGCTATTGGGAGGGGGAAGTTGCTGGGGATTAAACCCAGGGCCTTGTGCATGTGAGACAAGCACTCTACCAACTGAGCTATATCCCCAGCCCTATAATAAATACTGTATTGGTAAACTTGTTTTCAGATTTGTTGCTGACATATAGTAATACATACATGAATTTTTAAATTTTACCTTTGTACGTAGTTTCAATTCTTCTTTAGATTTGTTTAGATTTGCTGTATACATAATGATATGTTCTCTACATAAGTACAGTTTTATCTGCTTCCCTTCCAAATTATGACACTTTTAATTTCATCTTCTTGTCTTTAGTAAGACTAGAACTTTCACTGGGTGGGATCTCCACTACAGTGTGACTAGGAGTGGTGATAGCAGTTTCAAAGAGAAAATATTTTTTCTGTTTCAAAGGGGAAATCATTTTTAGTATGGTATTGCATATTGCTGAATTTGGTTTGCTAATAGTTTGTTTAGAATTTTTTGAATCTACTCTCATGAAACAAAATCCTGTAATTCTTTTCTTTTTATGTCCTTGATAGGCTTTGGTTTTAAGGTTTTGCTAGATTCTTAATGGAAGTTGAGCAGTGTTTTTTCTTAACTCCCTGGAAGAGTTCATGGAAAACTAGCATTATTTTTTTATAATTTTTTATCTTATTTTAATTTTTATTTATTTGTTTTTATAGTTGTAGATGGACAGGATGCCTTTATTTTGTTTATTTTTATGTGTTGCTGAGGATGGAACCCAGTGCCTCACACCAGCTAGATAAGTGCTCTGCCACTAAGCTACAGCCCAGCCCCAAAACTAGTATTATTAATTGAAATTCACTAGTGAAGCCATCTGGGCTAAAGTTTTTTGCTTTTGCGTGTGTTTATTTTGGAAAGGTTTTTAATTATAAGTTCAATTTTTTCAGTAAGAATATTCAGATACTCATTTCTTTTGGTGTCCCTTTTTGCTACAGTTTTCTATGAGTGTGTTCAGGACTTAAATTTCAGACTTATTGGAAGAAATCTGTTCATACTGTCTTTTTTTTAAAAAAATATTTTTAGTTGTAGTTGGGCACAGTTCCTTCCTTCCTTCCTTCCTTCCTTCTTTTCTTTCTTTCTTTCCTTCTTTCTTGTTTCTCTTTCTAGTTGTGGCTAGTTTGGCTTTCTGTGTTTTCAGCCCAGGTTATGAAATGCATGCAAATTTGGAATTATTTTATCTTCCTGGTAAAGTGAATGCTTTATCATTATTAAGTATACTACTTCACCTCCAGTATGGTATTGCCTTGAAGTCAACCCTGATAAAACTAATGTAGCTACATCAATTTCCTTTTGGTTGTTATATACATGGTAAACTTTATCACCTTTTTAACTTTTGCATATATGTATGTTGGCTTATAAATAGTAGATCACTTTGTTTACTGAAAATGTGCCAATCTTTGTCTTTAAAGGCACAATTAAGACATTTAATTTAATATAATTGAATCTAAATTGGTGTAGTTTTTTAAGGTTGAAAACTTTTTAGGCAATATTTCTTCATATTCCTAAAATAGTTCACTAACATATATAAACTTAAATTTATCTTCTTTGATATATATATATAAATAGACAGAAGTTTATGAAACTTTATCATATTCTATTACTTCTTTGACTCCTGTAAAATGAAGAGAGATCTAGCAACTAAAATATCTAAGGACAATCTTTTTTAATCTAGTGTTTGGGGAGTTCAGTTTGCAACTCTTGTCTTTATCATGATTTACCTACCTTATTCCAATAAGCGTGACATAACAATATATCTCTAATAAGTCTTTCTTGAAAAAATACTATAAAAATTTCATTTTTATTAACAGGGTTGTGACTCCCAAGTGAGCATGTCAGAAATGTCCTGTAGTGAAAGTACATCGTCTTGTCAATCTCTTGAACATGGTTCAGTTCCAGAAATTCTCATTGGCCTGCTTTATAATGCCACAACTGGAAGATTATCAGCAGAAGTGATAAAAGGCAGCCATTTCAAAAACTTGGCAGCGAACAGACCACCCAGTGAGTGAAAAAAAATTTTAATTGTAACATTTTCTGCACTTATGGGACTCTCAGCATTAGGGGCTTCAATCCTATCATTTTAGTCTTAACCAATCAAAATGAAATGGTGAATCATCAGCTAATCTGTTTCATGTTTTCTATTTCCAGTCATTTGGGAAGTAGAAAAAATTTGAAATTCAAAATATTGTGTGGTGACAGGAATTTTAATTTTTCACAGTGTCTACCGAATAAATTATCCCTATCATAGCCATTATCTTTTGATGGAAAAAGTTACAGGGTTTTTAAAAGTGAGTAATATTCAAAAGTATGAATAGAAATGTGTACAGTGTTGTTAACTAAAAAGTAAAATTGTTTTCTATCTACATATAGTGCTTTGAACTAATGTATTTACTTCTATATTTCCCCTTCTTTTTTCCTTAACAATGTAAGAGGAACTGTTTCTTTAGATTTTCTTCTCATTTAAAAGTATAGGGGGCCAAGGATGTAGCTCAGTGGTAGAACTTATGCTTAGCATGTGCAAGGCTTAGATTCACTACTCAGCACCACAAAAAAAGTAAAAGTTTAAAAAAAAATTAATTATAAACCAGTACTGCCAACAGTCTTTTCTTAGATGGAATGCGCTTTACCTTTACCAGACAAACAGAATAAGAAAGTTTGGAGGTTGATCCTAGATGGTCAGAAGTGAGAGCTAACAACATACCTCTGCCCTGTGTGCCTCTCAGCTTCTCTTACCTTCAGTTCAAGAGGGTGGAGATAGATTATAGAAGCATAAAGAGATTGTCTTCCAATTGTAATCCAAAACTTTTTGTTGACAGCTATGGGAAGTATACTGGGAACAGAGCAACTTCATTGTATATTTCTCTAAAATTAAAGCTGTTAATGTCCTGAACTAAAAATTGGAAAGAAAATCTTGAATAAAAACACCTCCTTAAATTTACCTAAAGGTTTCATGAAGACTTGTCTTTTACTCCAGGTATCAAGCAGTTATTAAAGCACCCTTGAATTAAATTAACTTGACTTCTCCTTGTCAAAAAAATTCATTATTCAATTAAGGTCAAAAGTCATAAAAATATATTTGGTCTGCCCATAGTAATGTTAAAGATCATAGAATCCATCTCTCCCTGAATTATAAGTCTGAAGGCCAAAATTGTATTCACATTTCTACCTTAGACAAATGACCAAGCTCTCTTAAGTCTGTTTCTTTATAGGAAAAGGTAAGGCTGTGTTTCTCAGAGTAATTGTGAGATCCAGATCTGACAAATGTGCATAAAAGGATAGAATTAATATTATCCACTTTTTTATTTGAAAGGAAATATTCAGTAGGAGGAAAGAAGCCAATCCTAACATAAACAGACTGGCAAGTGTGACTCAGTTATCTTCATTCATACACACTGTGAATGCAAATTAAAATGGCTGGAAAGATAAACTATAGAATAAGACTTGTAGATAAAAGGAAGGATGGTGAGGCGTGACAACCTCAGGAGTGCACACTCTATGTAAATATTCTGATTTAAAGATGCTTTAACATAGTATCAGATATAACACCATTTGGGGTCATATTGAGCCACAAGTAATCAATGTGCTATTCATAGTTTAGCTAATAGTTTAATAATTTTTTGACAGATAATTAACTGGAGATGTTTTAAAAGTAGCAGAATGAAATGGTTCTCTGATAGAAATAGAAAACAGAACTAAAAAGGAATCAGAGCTTAAAATGATCTGAAGGGCAAGATTGGGTAGTAAAATTAAGAAAGATTAGCAGCCATAAATTGGCGTGAACATACTTTATATACAAAGATATGAAAAATTATGCTCTCTATTGTAATAAGGATTGTTATGCATTCCGCTGTTGTGTATTTAAAAAAATAAAATCAATTTAAAAAAAAGATTAGCAGCCACTACATGGAGTTGATTTTTCAGGTTTAAGAGTGGATGATAACAATTGTCATTGTTTTAGAGTTAGATTTTCAGCATAAGGTTGATTAATGGTATTAGCTGAGAGGTAACTAATAAGCAAATATAAGTCAATTTTAAAAATAATTATATGAAAGTAGAGTATTTATAAAGGAGATGTAAGATATTTAAAAAGTGATATGCAAGACAATTCTATCTGTTCGTCCTAAACTCTACATATTATATAAATTATAGCCCTTCACGTATACCTAGGTTCTAAACCTTGAACTGTGTTGTAGACTGAATAATCCCAATTTAATCCAAAGAAATAGCAATATTCAAGAGCAAAAGCTGTGATAACTGTATATTATTTGCATAACTTAGTTTTATATTATGTTGGAGTAATAGATCTATTTCAAATATTAATATTGCATGGATAAACTTAAAATTTAGCATAATAATAATGATGATCCTATAATGACTTTTATTCAGTCTTTTATAGTCTAATAATTTGCATGATTCTATGTTCAATGTGCTTTAGACCAAGTTATCATTATAAAGATGTCCCCCTTTAAAATAGTGTAATTTTTATTTGAGATTACACAATGACCTTAAAATTTTTCATTCCATGAAATTTACCCAACAACCCTTTTGTTCAGCCCTCTACCTGAATTAAAATGCTAAAGTTTTGTGTTTTTCCACTCCAGTGAACAGTGTTTCCTCTTTAATTCTGACCTTTGACCCTCTTTCACCCAACGATTGACATCTGGTCATTATTTCTTTTACTGCTTTCCACCCCCTGTTGTCAGATGGACTGTTCTGTTGTCTAAAACACTTGATAGGTGGACAGGTTTATATAATCCGAGGTGAGTTCTTGTAGAGGCTAATTGGATGTTGTCTTTTCATGCAAAAACAAAATACCCTAAAACTTGCCAGCAGTGAAGCTGTCCACCATGTTGGTTTCTGAAAAAATGCACATTTATTATCTGTGATACTTTAAATAAAACTAACTTAGAATTTATCTCTGATTATGGATGATGGTATTCAGAGTATCAATAAAACAAGCCAAACTTTTTAAATAAAAGTTTTTATTTTTCCGTTTATTTGTATTTTGAATTGTATAACAGAAATAGCTATTTCATGAGAAATATTGCAATTGTCTTTGAAATTAATTGAAATTTTGATATGAAGTACACATGATGGATCAACATGCTGAAGATCATTTGCATGAGTCTAAAGAACTTGAAACATAATCTTTTAAAGAGAGGACTTATCTTTGATTTAATCAGGCAATGAAGTGTTATTTTTCACTTTGTACACTAACATCCCATCAGTTTTTTTTTATGATTCATGAAAATAATAAGATATCATACTTAAAATTTCACATTGAATTGTATCTAAAAGAAACCCTATACTATTTATTTTAACTACTCAAAAAAAAAAAAAAAAAAGAAGAAGAAGAAGAAGAAGCACATTAAATGTATCCTTGCATGAAACCAGGAAAGTTTTACTTGGTTTGCTAAACTTTGAACCCTAATGCATTTGGCTTTATTATGACCCATAAATGTTTTAAAATATATTTAAAAACCACATCCATGCAGAGATTTTTTTGACATTTCATCCTAAGCTGTTTTGATGTCATCTTTGCATTCTTGTCTTCCTTTTTTCCTCTTCACCATTTGCCTTCATTTCTATTTGTTTGTTGATTCTTATTCTCTGAAAACACAGTGGAATGCTTTACAGTGTTGTGGCTAATTGAGCTTGCTAAGTGTTTATTAATGCCATGATGTCCTGCTTAGTACAGCTAAATGGGAATGGGAATGGGAATGGGCAGGGGAGGTAGTGGGATGTCAAAGATGGGATGGGAGGGTGGAGGAAGGATTATGAGGTATACCTTTAAATTCTATTATGTAGAAATAGAGAGGTTAAGATATTATTACTCCCAAGATATTTTCAGACTACTCAGCATTCTCTGTACTTGTCACATTTTATAAGTATCTCTATCAAAATGGATTGGTTGAATTTCTTAAACATGGTATACACCATATCCTTATAAAGTATAAATACTGAATCTTCTCAGCACTTGTTATAAGGAAATTGTTCCAAGTTCGTTGCAAATGATATTTGTATTATGTTGGTTTTTTTTTCTTTAGATACATATGTTAAGTTAACTCTACTGAATTCCATGGGTCAAGAGATGTCCAAGTGCAAGACATCCATCCGCAGAGGGCAGCCAAATCCAGTATACAAGGAAACTTTTGTATTTCAAGTGGCCCTATTTCAACTTTCTGATGTGACACTTATACTATCTGTGTATAACAAACGCAGCATGAAAAGAAAAGAAATGATAGGCTGGATTTCTTTAGGTCTGAACAGCTCTGGAGAAGAGGAACTCAATCACTGGACTGAAATGAAGGAGTCGAAAGGACAGCAAGTATGTAGATGGCATGCATTACTAGAGTCGTGATGAAGAGGATGAACGAGCGGTCAGTCAAAGGCAGAATTATTTCTTATTACAACACTGCTATTTTTACCTGGTCACCATGAGAAGAGCTATCTTTGAAGAATAATATTCAACTCTACCAAAATTCTTTAGATGCTTGGAAAGATCATCTAATACTGACATAAATAAAGAAAAGATGTGTTTCTCGTAGAGCTTATCTGGAAACTGAGAAACTGACATCATTATTGTTAAACTAACGGTCCTCCAGAGATTTAAAAATATGCTTTTGATTTGAAGTTACTTTTACTTTAGCAAAAGAGCCAGTAATTTTATGGAAGATTATAAGTGATTTTTAAAAATCAGAATTTTAGTTGCAATACTATTTTAGTATCACCCTACATATTATCTAAAACATTTTAAATGGCCAGTCTTGGTGTTTATAATGTTATTTAATATAAAAAAAAATGTTCTCCAGCACTATCACAAGTCATATTTAATGGTGAAGGGTTTCAATCACATTTAAAATTATTTTGTCTCAGACATGTTCTTTGTGCCCTTAGTTTCATTGTGCCTCAGTTCTTCTCCATAGCACTAAATCTAAGTGCAAGCAAGTATTCATTTTCACAAAAGAATTTTGAAGCTTTGTTGTTTTTCAAAAGTTTATTTCTTTATTTGCCTTTGCTTTTGCCTGATCCAAAGAGACCAAGTCATGTTCTGGTCCCTTGCAAGCCTTCTAGACAGGTTGTACTGTAGAACTATGTAACTTTCTGTTGAAAGCACTTCCTGTATTCTTGTATTCCAATGTAGGAAGCCAATAGAACAGGACTTTATTTTAGAATTTCTTTCAGTGATTGACTCTTTACAATTGTAGTAATGTGAAAAACTTTTTTTTTTACAAACTGAAAAATAAGCTGAGCTGTTGGAAATTGAATGTGATTCAAGTTAAAGAAAAATTTAATTGTCTGCTCTGAGTATTTAGTAAGTAACACTGCATAAGGCAGGTAGCATTCAAAATAAGAAACTCTTCTCTGTCACCCTCACTTCAGTTTATATGATGATGTAAAGACTATCCTGTTCAGTTTGATTCAGAACATCAAGTTAAAAACAGTTCTGAGATTCCTTATGAAGTTTCTAGTGACTTGTGACTAGATTTTATGAAATTTACAGATAACGTTCTTCAACGTGATGTCATCTTGTGCCTTTCATGTAAGTTCAATTTGCTCATACAGCTTGGAAGTTGTATTTGCAAAATTAGGCCTTCAATTTTTTATAAATATAAAGATTCCTCAGAACAGTGTCACAAGATCTTTATTTCCTCTGACGTATGTAAAAGTTATACAATGTACTAATTTTTTTTTAATGGCAAGGCACTTTTATTTGTTGTTTTTATATTTAGGAAATCTGAATAATCAAGAATATTATAAGCTATGTTCTTTTCAATTTTGCTTCTTATTTAACATATAATTTATGCATATACTTTATTAAATAGAGTATGTTTTGTATATATGAAAAATATTTTCTTTTTTTCTTTCTCATTTTTAGTAAAGCTAGACAAAAGTGTACTATTTACCAATTACTAAAAAGCAGAATATCATTATTCCTAGTCCCCACTAAGTACAATATGTTATTGTAAGCTAGAACTCATTATTACCATAATGAAACCATGCATAGATATTACTACTTCAGCTTGGCTGTACTGAAAAGCCTTAAAAGAGATTTTTTAAAAACCCATGAATTCATATTTTTTAGTTTAAAAAAGGCAGCTCTATGCTTTAATACTTGTAAGTTATAAGAAAAAATGCAAATGAGCAACATGGGTTTTAAGAATATATATTACAGAGTTGCATTAAAGAAAAAATTCATTCTTTGTTACATCAGTGCACTTTTTTCCAGGATTTTTTAAATAAATGAGTTACAGTTAGAACATGAGTTGAATGGCAAAATACCTCATTTAAGTATTTTCATCAACAATGCAAGAAATGTTTGAAGGGGGATGTGGATTTTACTGAGAAATTAGATTTAGGCATTTGATGCTACAGTTATCTTTCCTGTCTTTGAAACAACTGTCTATGTTGTTAACACCTAGTATCTTTCTAATAAAGAGAGTTGTCAGTCTTATCTGTAGCTGTAACAAAGCTTAATCAAACACATTAATAAGGCCAGTTTGGTGCTTTCACCTTTAGTAAGAAAAGGACAACTGTTATTTGTTAAATCTACCTTTCTTCAGACAGAATTGTGTGTGTGATCTGATATCTCTTTAGAGGCTTATCTAGTATAAGTATCAAATCTTATGTAGCCCAAAAACTAATCAACATTTTTGTAAATTTCAGGGAGGACCCTCCTCCACCCCAGCTGCCAAGTCCTCAAAGATAATAAGTTATCTATATGTGTGTCCATATATATACACACATGCCTACACTCACACACAACATACATATGTACACATATATGTATTTATAATGGTGAAGGTGCCCTGGCTTTTTCAGACTACTGAATAGAAAAATATTCCTCAAATTTATGGATTGTTTTTCTCCTTTATATAAATTACTCAGTCTTATATTTGGTTTTGAGGGCTATTTGGTACCATTCTCTGCCACACATAGCAAAATACACATCTTTTCTTCTTGTGGCTTGACACAACCTAGAATAATTACTCCCCCAAAATTGTCTATTTTTTTCCAAAAAGGATTAGAGTTCAAGAGATGCACTTCACTCTGCTTCATCTAACATACAAGACAGTACTACTACTTTTTTTGTTCACTTGAATTCACATGAAAGCTTCAAGGCAAAATTTTATATCTCAGTAATTACAGCAAATAGGTGCCCACTGGTGGGCAGCAGGTGTTGACTCAGAAACTTGAGAAAGACAGTCAACTTTCTTGTTGTTCTGCTAAAATCCCCTAAGCTTCATAATTAAATGAGCTAGTCCAAATATGAATTTGACCAGCATTTATAGCAGCTCCTAAAATCACACTATCCCAAAGGAACTACAAAATGTAGTAGTTTATTATTGCCCAGGAAACAAAGCATATTTCAAATCAGTGAAGAATTTGTTTAGTATAATATCATCTTCCCTTTCAGAAGCCTTATTCTGTAATCTGAGTTCCCAGTGCTGTTCAATTTGCTTGAAATCCACTTGTACATTATCTTATCATGTGTTCAGTGAATTCTTGATAGTATAGTATTGCCTGACAAAAATAATATATTAGACCACAATTTAAGAAAAGAAAACCCAATGAGAAGATATCTAAAGTATCCTGATTAATATACACATGATCTCCCAGTCTCTCAAGTGAATTAAAAATATAGGTAGGCTATTTAAAGTTTGAATCTTAGATGACATAAAAACAGTAGTTGTGAGCACATTTTTTTTTCCATTTCATTATTCGGATATGAATAGAAATGATACAAATTTGTTTGCATGAAATTACCATTTACTTATATAGATGAGATAATTCAGAGAAACTTACATTGATATTTATAATTCACAAGTTTTCTTATTTTTTTTTCCGTTCACTGCCCCCAGTTCATCTATGACTTACATTGGAAGTAGCCATCAATATCAATATCCCTATCACCAACCATACTTAATATTGAGCACAAGGTTAAGCATGCTGTAAAGCATTTTCTTTTTTTCCCCACATTTTTATTGGTGCTTTATAGTTGGTACATACTGATGGTATTTGTGGTGACATATTTGTATGTGTGTATAATACACAATATAAACATAATTTGACCAGTATCACTCCCCAAAACTTCACCCCTCCCTCCATGCCTTCCATACCTTGGTCCCTTTCCTCTACTGATCTTCCTTTGATTTCCATGAGATCCACCCCCACCTTTCTTTTCCTTCATCCTCTAATTTCCACATATGAGAGAAAACATAAGACACTTGACCTACCGAATTTGACTTACTTCAATTAACATAATGGTCTCTAGTTCCATTTTCCTGCAATTCCATAATTTCATTTTTCCTTATGATTGAATAAAACTCCATTGTGTATATATACCACATTTTCTTTATCCATTCATACATTGATAATTGATAGATACCTATGCTGGTTCCATAGTTTGGCTATTGTGAATTGTGCTGCTATAAACATGAGTAATCTAAAGTTAATTTTTAAAACATCAATCTGTACCCTCCAAAAAGTGTAATAATGATGATGATAACAGCTATAATCTACCAAAGCTCTAGAACAATAATTTACTATTTTGTTTGATTCTTTCAAAATATTATGAGGTAGGTATATTATTCATATTTTAATCAGTGAAGAAATTGCAGCATAGAGAGGTTAAGCAGACTTTCCTAAGGTCATCCAGTAAGTAAGCAGCAGAACTAGGATTAGAACCAGATGTACATTACTCTAAACACCATACTGTGCATACTGCAGTTGCATCCCTCTTTTCAGTTGCATACAAAAAGTTAGAACAACATTAGATTTATCAATAATCGTACCCACTTTAACTGAAGGCAGAACTAGTTGGTGGAAACAGCTCAGGAAAAAGAACAGACAAGACTAGAGGTTTACTTTTTCTTAGAACACAATAGGGAATTTTGTGTCATGTTTTGTAGATGATTTTTATTTTTAAAGAGTTGCTATTAGATTCTAAAAGTATATTAGTTTGTTCTGCTTTTTGGCCACACTTGGGAACCCAAGATATTTTAATTGCATCTGACCGTCTTTCTTAACCTGTGAAGTGAGTAGCTGTGTCTGATAGTCCACATCTTACTCATCAGTGTTAAGGAGAAAGCTCGTTGCAGTTTGTGTTTCTTGTATTGTTTTATTAAGGTTTGATAAGAATTGTAGTTAGTTTTATTCCATGTCTCTCTCTCCCCCAAGTGGTAGTAAATGCATTGTCTTATTATCTTTATATGTGCCTTTGCTCATAGTAGATACACAATATTGATGAACTAAGTTCTCTATGGAAGAAATCAATAATACTATTATGTAAGTCTCATTTTGCACAAATCTTGTGTTATGCATGGATTTATTTTTCCTTCATTTAATATATTTTTATAAGAATACCAATTACGTGCATGAGTTGTTCTAAGAACTACAGATGCAGAGGTAGTAAATTGGATAGACAAAGTGATTTCCCTCAGGGGGCTTAAATTCTAAGGTAGGAATATGAGCACAGAATAGTGTAATTTCACTCTAATATGATGAGATATCAAGATAGGGATGCAAAGAGCATTGTAGTATTTGGCAGAGGAATATAATGTGGAATTCAAAAAAATCTTCCTGGAGAAGATAATACCTAAGTTGGGACTTAATGAATATGGGTTAGATTCCCATCAAACTCTAAGGCAAATTACAAAATGGTAGTTTCCAAGATGTAGTGTGTTTAAGAGTTATCTCTAGAGCTTAACTTGTATTCCCAAACTCTACCTCTGAGATTCTGTTTCACTTGGTCTAGAGGTAAGCCTAAGAATCTAGATGTTATTATGTTCCTCAAGAAATCTTGTCAAATATATTGGTATAGAATATTGAACTTATTACATAGAATTATTGATAGTAACGTTTCAGTGCCTGTAGACTAAATCTTTGTAATAGTGATAAATAAGAGTGATTAAGACTAAGGTTAATGTTACTGATTAAGACTTAAGGTTAGGACTGGGGTTGTAGCTTCGTGGTAGAGGGCTTGCCTAGCATGTGTGAGGCACTGGGTGCAATTCTCAGCACCACATAAAAATAAATAAATAAAATAAAGATACTGTGTCTATCTACAACTAAAAAAAATATATATTTAAAAAGACTAAGGTTAATGTTACTTGTACATCCTTAAAAAGAAATATTTAAGGAAGAAAATGAAAAGTAATAATTATGATGTCTAGTCCATTCACATTCAACATGACTTTTTCAAAGTCTTCCTTGCTATAATTCATAAATTCTATGATGTTTGTTTTGTGATTCCTAGAAATTTATTTATTGTTAAAATATTTACCTCTAAACTGTCTTTGCAATAATTAGATACAAGGCAAAGAATCTTAGGAGGTTTTTATCTAGTATTCATTCTCTGTCAGTATTCTGAACAAGGTTGACCTGTAAGAAATCCTATAGGAACAGTGGTAGATAGTGACAATTTTGTGTTCTTGTTATAGTAAGCCTTCTACTTTCTCTTACTTTCTCTTTGATGGCTTCATTGTCACCACACCTTCAGATGAACCTCAGTCCTGGATTCTTCACTAGGAACAGCAGTGTTTCTACTACTTAGGATCTGATCTTTATTTCCTTGATTGCTTTGTTCTTCCTTAGGGTCCTTGATTTCAAATAGCAAGTTAACACAGCAAACCTTAGGACTTCTGCTTCCCCTAAAAGTAAATGCTATGGATAAGGCACATCTGAGTTTCTGTTTTCCCTCATTTCAAAGGTAACCACACTGCCTTCTCTTGTAATATTTTGTATGAATATATGTTACATTTTGAAAGTTTTCTTTCCTCCCACAAAGATCTGTGATAAGCCCACCAAAAAATGAAGTTACTTGAATATTTGAAATAATATTATTATAGAATTGGACTGCTTTGTGACTGCTGACATATCACTGTGTTGAATCTGGTCATAGTTCAAGCTTAATATAATGTTAAGGTGGTAAAGTTTGATATACTGAAATTATTAGTTAATTATCAAAACTGGATTTAAAATCTTATTTTTTCTCCTCCCTCTATATACTAGTATGCAGTTTCCTTAAATGTTTCCTCTTTCTCCTTCCCTGCCTTCCCTGCCACACACCTCTCATTTCTATACATTCGCACTAAGTACCAAAGTTAGTCAAAGCTGAATAGTACTTGTTGAAAAGGGATGCCTTGACTTTTTTCATTTGACCTCATAGACTAGACAGTAGAGAGGACCAGACAGGCTTTCTCAAAGACTGTGGGAAGAACAAAGCATAATACCCTCCATCATAACAGGCTGGCTGCTGCTACTGTGATAGTTATCATCATCCTCATACACTTAACCTTGAATAGTATGATATACCCTGAAACCATGTTGTAGGAGCTGGGAGCAGAGAAGGAAACTATTAATCTAGCAAAATTTTGGCATAATTTTATTACAGAATTTCAGCCTCTCATTACATAAAATTTTGTAATTATGAGAAGAAAGTCACTGCTGTGCAATAATTGTGCAAGATGTTTGACATTAATTCATTGTCAGCTTGATAGTCTATATCTTAAATTATCTTACTATTTTAGGGCCCTTCTCATGCTCTTCCTTATTATTCTGGTTATTAGTAAACCTAATTTGTACTATCTGGTTTTTTAGTTTGTCCTTTAAATATTCAAGACTACTTTAAAAGAAAAATCATAACAGCTTTCTGTTTATTCCTTTAGCATGTGATCTTTCACCTGCCAATGTGTTTTAAAATGAATATGCACTAGATGACATATAACAGCCCATTATACATTGAAAAAATATTTCAAAATTATAATTTATAAATTGGAAATTTTATGTATTTGTGCTTTTAGATATTGCCAATGTGCTTATTTTCATAAGTCTAAGCAATTAATATTAAATACATCTATTTTATTCATTGAGAAAATATAAATTTTCTCATACCTCTAAGATTTATTGTTTCTCTTTGCTGTTCACATCTAGTTGAACTGTGAACCTCATAAGAAGTCTTTGTCAGTTTCCAAGCATGTTCTCCTCTTCCAGCTGATGTAGTTTTTAATCATGACCAAACCATTCATACTCTTAGGAGTAGGTCTTCGCAGTCATTCCTCTTCAGAACCCCCATTAATGTTGCTGACAGTGATACATAAGCACCGTGGGAGAAAAGAACCCTGAGGTATAAAGCATTGGTATCTCACAACCCTAACAGGATGACACTTTCAATACCTAAATATAATTTCAGTGAGAATGGAATAGAAGCCAACTTTTTGGAAATGGGGAATTTTAGGTCCTTATGTCATATTCTCCCCTTTTTGATCTTCTCCCTGACCTGTCTAGCTTGCACATTGTCTTTATTTTAAGTTTTGTCAGACAGCTTTTAAAAAATGTTTTTTTTTTTAATTTCACATGTTGCTTTAACCAGAAAATTTCAAAAAATTGAAAACTGAGATAAATACTTAAAATTATAGAAAAAAATGGGGGGGGGGAGTTGCTTGTTTTTGTTTTGAGTTGTCTTTTTGGATAAATATTGGGAATATTTACAGTATTCTGTAATTACATCACCTGTGTTGTATGAGGGACACCAGGATAACTTTGGTACATAAGTTGACTCTCATCTAAGTATGTTAGTGTATTTGAACAATTATTTGAAGCACACCTAGAAATTAGTGGTGGTACTTCCAAAAGCATTTTGATATTGTAAGTGTTACTTTAAGTTTACCAACAGAAAAGTTCAGTAGTATCTTGCATTATAAAAGTAATTTATCATGATTCTGCATAATTGTACTAACATGTGCTTTGTTTTGTAGTGAAAATAATATTGTGGCAACAATTTTGAGGAATCTTTTAAGCTGACATAGAGGAGATAGCCAAACTTTGGCTAGACTTTTCCTAGAATTTTGAAATAAGAAAGAAAATAAATATTACTTTTCAGTTACTTTAGTCTTGAGGAAGAATAGTTATATGAATTTTAAGAGCTAATAAATGTTGGGATCTATTCTTTTTCTAAAACTCTTGGGTTTTAGAACTCAATACTCTTGCATTGTGCTTTATTTCTCAAAATAATGTAATTTTTATGGAAAAACTCAATTAATGGAATCTTTTATTTGATATTCCTTAACCAGCCTACCAACCTTCCTTCCTTCCTTCCTATTTCTTTTCTTTTTTTCTTTAGAGGCAAGAAGTTTCCTTAATAGTATAGTTTCTACAGAGCTTTCTTACTTATTTTTCTAATAATGGATATTACAGTGAAATGAAGTTTAAATGCTCTATGAGCAAAATTCTGTTAAACAACCTGAAGAAATACACTGCTGATTAACATTTCCTTTGGTCTTAACCTGTCTCTAATACATTTGTGAGTAACTCTAACCCATTGATGGACCTTACCGACAAGGGTCTGTATGGTTATCAACAGTGTTGTATTATTGTCACATTAATTTGCATTTTTGTCAAAATGGTTAAGTGTGTGAAGCAATCTGTTTTCTAGAATGGGCTTATATATCTACTCATTTTCACATAATTGAAAATGTGCTACATGTTGCATTGTATTCTCACATCTACTTTTCTACTGTATACACCGATAGTCTCGGTGCCTTTGTCCTTTTGTATAATTGTATTACATAAAGAAACCACTGACCTCTGCATAAACAATGTAAAAAAATGTTGAAATTACTATTCCAAGGAGATTTTAATGGCAGTTTAATTTTCCAGAGAATAAATTTTTTGTGTGGGTTAAAAGTTATTTTTCTTCACTTTTATGTAAAAAAGTTGTTCAGTACTCACATCTAATGGGCCAACGTCTGATTTCTCTGATGGTGATAGATCAGAATCATCCCTCTTTCATCACTGGCAAGTAAGTGTTAATATGACTATTACACAAGATAAAAGAATGTCAATTACATTGGCAAATTTCACATGGACATATATAAATGTTATTAGGATCTTAGGTTTGAAAAAGAATCTCATTTAAATATTCTATAAAATGTTTCTATCAGAATGTTTGGGACATTTAATTGTAAGTCAGATCTGGCCTTCAAAGAAAATAGACTCCAGCCAGGCACAGTGGCACATGCCTGTAATCCCATTCCCTCCAGAGACTGAGGCAGGAGGATCACTGGTTCAAAGCCAACCTCAACAATTTAGTAAGGACCTAAGCAACTTTGAGACTCTGTCTCAAAATTTTAAAAAAGAAAAAAGGGCTGGGGATGTGGCTCAGTGATTAAGTGCCCCTGGGTTCAATCCCTTGTACCCATCCCCACCCCCCAAAAATGAAAATAGATTCCAGATATAAACATTTTAAAATAATTCCTTTAAAGTTCATACAAACGAAGAATAAAACCAAGTAGCTTTACAATGGCCTCAATGTTCCTAGCTATAATATACACATGGGTCCAGCTTTCCGCCTTACACTTCTATTTAATGTGACTTTCTCATGAATCATGGTGATATTGTCCTTCCATTTAACAATATCTTTTTCTGCTTGGCAGCAGTAGTGTGTTGATTTTTTTTAAATTCTTTCTTATTAAGTAGTTGTATTATTTCCCAAAGACCTTGAAGTGAGGTACTTTTCATCTTTCATTACCTTGTCCATTTTATTTCTAGAAACAAAGATTTATAACAACACATTCAACAAGTACTATTGTAAAAAGAATTTAAACATTTGGTGCTCTAAAATTGCCAGAAATTAAAGTTGCTGAATCATCTAATCTTTGATTGTCTTTAAATCCTTAGTTTCCTAAATCTAGTATTTGTCTTTGAATCCTTGGTTCCATAAATCACCTGAGCTTTTCAAAAGTAGAACACCAGGGACCAGTTGGTCTGCTTTACCTTTTTCCTTTTTGTAGAGTTGTCTCTATTAAAGCAGTGAAAACATGAAACACTTCTGCTCAAAATAAATGGGTTCATAATGTAATTTCAATCTAAAGTTTAAGTAATTTTTATATCTTCCTAGTACTTTGCTAATTCTTCCCCTTTCTCAAACATTTTGGGCTTCCATTGTTAAGATATTTTAAGTTTCAAGAAGCAAAAACAACAGACTTCTTGAGTGTTCATAAGAAAAAATGTTTTCTGAATTGTAAACAACTTCTCAACTGGGCATGATTTATTAGTTATTTAGCACTTTAAAAAAGAGTAATTTGCATCTGGGTCATGGTTTATTGTCTTTCAGAGAATTATAATTTATATAAAGTGAAATTCCAGCAGAAAATTGTCACAAAAGTTGGTATTTTCTGTTGTCACAGAGGGTTTTGGGTGGTTAATCTTCATAACATGTTATTATACTTAAGATTATGTTTTAATTGCAAATTGCTTGTAACTCTTTTTGACCTCCCGTATGCAAAATAACATTTAAGTCAACTTTTTCTTTCCATAGATTATCAAAATATTCCATAATGTTTCCCATTTGAAAATAAAGTCATTCCCAATTTAAAAACAAAAGGTCTCAGTAAAATATGTGGGATATTTTGTTTGGTTAGTACTTTATAATGAATTATAAAAGTATAATATACTAAATGCTTCTAAGTAATTAAATGCTGAATAGGGACAAATTACAGCCATGCGTTGCTTAATGAAGGGGATATGTCTGAGAAACATTTAACTTGGTCTCATCGTTGTGTGAAAAAACTGTCAGACTTCCAAAGTACCTGTAGCATTTGCAGTACCACCAGCAATGAATGGAAGCTTTTGTTGCGCCCATCACTGCCAGCAATTGGACTTGTCAATTTCTTAGATTTTAGCATTCTTGTAGATTTATAGTAGTATCTCATTGTTTTAATTTGTAGTTCCCTACAGATGAGATAGTTTCTAAGTCTCTATGCTTTTGTTGGTGAGGTGTCTGTTCAGATCTTTTCCCATTTTTTAAAACTGGTTTATTTCCCTAACCTTGAGTTTTAAGAGTTATTTGTATGTTGTATCTGTATCAAATGCAATGCTTCACAAGTATTTTCTTCTAGCCAGTGTAATGTCTTTGCATTCCCTTAACAATGTCTTTCACAAAGCAGAAGTGTTCATCATAATGAAGTTCAACTTATCAATTTTTTTCTTTCACGGATTGTACTTTCGATGTTTATATAAAAACTCATAATCAAACCCATAGTTGCCTAGATTTTCTCCTGCTTTTTTTCCTAAACTTTCTGGTTTTGCATTTTTCATTTATGTCTATCAACTATTTTGAGTAAAAACTTTTAAAAGGTAAAATGTCTGTATCTGTATTTACTTACTTTTCATGGATGGAGATATAATTGTTTCAGCACTATTTTTTTTTTAATTTTTTATTGTTGGCTGTTCAAAACATTACATAGTTCTTGATATATCATATTTCACAATTTGATTCAAGTGGGTTATGAGCTCCCATTTTTACCCCATATACAGATTGCAGAATCACATCAGTTACACATCCATTGATTTACATATTGCCATACTAGTGTCTGTTGTATTCTGCTGCCTTTCCTATCCTCTACTATCCCCCCTCCCCTCCCCTCCCCTCCCCTCCCCTCCCCTCTTCTCTCTCTGCTCCCTCTACTGACATTCGTTTGTCCCCCTTATATTATTTTTCCCCCTTCCCCTTCAGCACTATTTTTTGAAGTGCCCTCTGCTCCTTTGTCAAGATGAGTTGCTATATTTGTATAGGTCTGTTTTTTTTTTCTTTTTTAAAATTTGTTTTAGTTATACATTACAGTAGAATCCATTTTGATATAATTATATAAGCATGGAATATATCTTATTCTAACTTCTGAATGAGAATAACTTCTTATTTTAATTCTCTTTATTTTTCAGTGATCTGTTTTCTAGGCATTTTATCTTTTCTGCATAAACTTTAGAACCAATTTATTGGTATCTACAAAACATCTTCTTGCATTTTTTGTTGGAATTGTATTGAACTTAAAGATCTATGTGAGAATTGACATTTTAATATTGCGTATTGTACTCCAAGAGCACAAAATATCTTTTCATTTATTTAAATCATTACATGATTTCTTTCATTATTACTTTTAGTCTTCCATATATAGATTTTCTGAGAGCTTTCATAATGGATGGCTGTTGAATCTTGTCAAATGCCTTTCTGCATCAGTGGATAATGATCATGTGGGGGTTTTCTCCTCACTCCCTTTTTCTCCTACTAAAGTGGTGATTTACACTGATAGGTTTCCTAACATTGATCTAACCCTGCATACCTAGAATAAGTCTCATGTGGGGATGGTAAACAGTGACAATTCTTGTTACATACATTGTCAGATTCCATTTTCTCATATTTTGTTGAAGATGATATCAAGTCTGTAGTTCCTCCTTTGTCTTCACATTTTAATATTGGGCCTCCTAGAACAAATTCTAGATGTCCCTCAATAGATGAATGGATAAAGAAAATGTGGTATATATATTCAAGGGAATATTACTCAGCTTTAAAGAAGAGTGAAATTATGGCATTTGCCAGTAAATGGTTGGAGTTGGAGAATACCGTGCTAAGTGAAATAAGCCAATCCCACAAAACCAAAGGCCAAATGTTTTCTCTAATCTGCAGATGCTAATTCACAATAAGGTAGGGGGCACTAGGGAAGAATAGCCTTACCTTAGATTAGGTAGAGGGAAGTGATGGGAGGGGAGGGGAGAGCATGTGACGATAGGAAAGATAGTAGAATGAAACAGACATTATTACTGTATGTATATATGTGACTGCATGACCAATGTGATTCTGCAACATGTACACTCAGAAAAATAAGAAATTATATCCCATCTATGTATGATATACCAAAGTGCATAAATGCATTCTACTGTCATGATTAACTAATTAAGACAAATTTTAAAAAATTTAAATCCCCCCCCCCCAAAAAAAAAAAAAGAGTGTCCCATCAACTTCTATTTTTCCTGGAAGAATTTGTGGAGAATTGGCATCATTTAAAAAAAAAAAAAGTTTGATAAAATTCATTTGTGAAACTATCTGGGCATGGTGCTTTCTTTTCTTTTTTTAAAGTTACTAATTATTCAGTTTTTAATAACTACCAGCCTGTTTGTATTATTCACTTATTTTGTGTCACTTTTGTGCCAGTTTCTGTAAAGGAATTGAAGCTATCAAACTTGTGGATAAGGCGCTGCTAATACTATTCCATTGTCATTCTTTTAGTGTTTATTGCATCATAGTGATGGCCTTCTTTCATTTCTGATGTTGTTAATTTGTATCTTTTCCTCAGCCTAGCTAAGAGTTTGTCAATTTTATTGATATTTTCAGAGAACAATGTTTGGTTTTGTTGATTTTATCTAGCAATTTCTTTTTTCTAGTTTTATTGATTTCAGCTTTAATTATTTAATTTCTTTGACTTGCTTTTCTTTTTTATTTTATTTATTTATTTATTTATTTATTTATTTATTTATTTATTTATGGGATGCAAGTGATAATATCCAAACTCTTAACATGTTGAAGCTAAAGCCAGAAGTTCTTGGGAAGGTTTTAACTGTCTGAGCCTAAGCCTATTTTCTGACCTGGAAATACAATTTACTTAGTACAGAATTATGACTTATAAAGTGGGTTGACTGGGGCGAGGGCAAATTATCTCACACTTACTTAATAAAAGTTAATATAGTTTTATTCCCATTTTTTTCATTTTTAATGAAAGGATTATGTTTTAGCACAGTCACTTCATATACTTAAGGGACATTATTAAATTAGCCATTGTTACTCTATATAATACTGTTACCTTGGATAAATCCTATTTTCCCAGTTTTCCATCCTCCAGAGCCTTTTGAACTACC